CAAAATGGGTCTAATAACATAGGCTCTAAATTGACAAAGCACAAATTAACAAAAATACATGACAAAGCAGACAACTCTCACTTTCCCCACAATCATAGTAATTACTGAGACATGTACAACCCTCTTAAGGGACTGACAGAGCAAACAGCTGAAGATTAGAAAATATAATTAACCATTATGATGAACAAAACTTAACAATTTTGTTGAAAGATACATATATACATAGATAGTCAAGCGATAAGGAAAAGCCAGTGATGATCACAGAAATGTGAATAGTGTTATGGGAAGGATTTTGATAAGGGAAGAACATAAAGATTTCCAACATATGTTGGAAATATTTTACTTCTGTACCTAAGTAAAATATTAAGAATGTTAATGTAGTAATAATTTTCTAGAAACTTACTTCGTGAAAGGCTACACAGTAAATATTTTAGCCTTTGAAGGCCACCTATCATCTTTATCATTTAGTCGTCTTTGTTTCTACCAAATGGGGGGAAAAACCCAACCCCACTGCCATTAAGTTGATTACAACTCATAGCAACCCTGTATAGGGTTTCCGAGGCTGTAAGTCTTTATAGGAGCAGAAAGCGGCAGAGGTGCTGATGGGTTTCAACTGCCAACCTTGTGGTCAACAGTCCAGTGCTTATCCTACAGAGCCACTGTTGTTAAGTGCCATCCAGTCAATTCTGACTCATAGTGACCCTCTATAGGGTTTCCAAGGAGCAGCTGGTGAGCTTAACTTGCTGACCTTGCAGTTCAAACTGGCCTCGCAGTCCAGCGCATTAACCCACTGTGCCACGCCATTAAAGCTCCTTTTTATTTCCACAACCCCTTAAAAATCTAAATTTCATTCTTAGCTCATGGGACTTGGGCTATAGTTTGTCAACTCCTACATTAAAATGTTCATGTTTTATGTACTTTTTGTATTGTTATATTTAACAATAAAAAAATATAAAATAATCACTTATGAGCATAAAGGCTAATGCATTTCTTTACCCATCCATTCTTCTCTTCCAACAATCAGTTTTATACATACACATGTACCACAGACCGAGTATGGGTGGCACAATGGTTAAGTGGCTGCCAATCAAAACAGTGATTCAAACCAACCAGTCACTCCTTGGGAAAAAAGACCTGGAATCTGCTCTCATAAAATCATAGCCTAGGAAACCACTAAGGACAGCTCTACTCTGTCGGACAGATCACTATGAGTCAGAATCAACTCAATGGCACATAACAACAGACTGAAAATTGAACAAGACTACTTCTTCTTTGTCTGAAACATTTATGTGTTAAGTACTGTAAGAGAAGGAAACACTGTAAAGAAGACAAAACCCCGCTCTCATGGGATTCACAATCTAGCAGAAAAAGACGAACAATGAATCAACTACATAATTAAATATCTTTTCTTTTGTTTAAATGGCATGAATCAGAATATTCCTAATCATAGTGACCCTGTATAGGGTTTTAAGGAGTGTGGATAGTGGGTTTGAACCACCAGCCATGTGGCTAACAGTCCAGTACTTATCCTACAGTGCCATAGTAAAACTCCTAATTAAAAACATCGGTAAAATATCAAATGAAAATGGTATTAAAATTATACCACAGCAATGGACAATGAATGACGGAAAAGACACAATATGGAAGATTATCACACTAAAATGTTGGCCAAAAGAAGCCAGAAATAGGAAAAGACTGTATGTTTCCTTTCATAAAAAAATAGAAAAGCAGAAAAAACTCATCTAAGCTGTTAGAAGCCAGGACAGTACAATCCCCTGGCATGGAGGGGCTAATGAACACAAGGAGGGAACAGAGGGCATCTGAGGAGCTGGTAATACATTCTTCTTTATGCTGGTCACCCAGGGATGTAGTAGTTTGTGAATTTTCAATCAGCTGTATATTTATACATATTCTTCACCCCCACATCACCCCCAAAATTTTAGCCCTCTGCTCCTTTTTTTTTAAACTTTTTATTGTGAATTAAACAGATGATCATTTACCAGAATAGGTCAGATTGTAGGAAGAGTGGTCTTAGCTATGGATGTTTTTGGTAGTGAAGTGGGAGAGATCCTGGAAGGACAAATCCCTGGAGAAGGACTGATGTCTGGTAATTTGGAGGGTCATCAGAAAAAAGGGAAGACCCCAATGAGATGGACTGACACAGTGGCAGCAGCAATGGGTTCCAGCATATCAACAATTGTGAGAATGGCGCAGGACCAAGCAGTATTCTGTTCTAGTGTGCACTGGGTCTGCTATGAGTCAAACCAACTTGATGACACCTAGCAACAAAGGTTTAGGTTGCCTTTCAGATGTGGTAGAGACGGTGATTGTGTACCGTCAAGTTGGTTCAACTCATAGCGCCCCAGTATAGGGTATCCAAAACTGCAAGTCTTTATGGAAGTAAAAACCTCATCTTTCTTCCTGTGTGTGGCTGGTAAATTCGAACAGTTGACCTTGCAGTTAGCAACTCAATGTGTAAATCACTACACCAGTGGAAATGCAAAGTAGAGAACTGACTGCTGCCCAAGAGAAGATCAGGCAAGTTGATTCATCCTGAAAGGTAGTGATGCAAATAACTTGGATGATTTGGGGAAGAAACACATGGAAGTACTCTTCGGATTGCTTCTATTTTCCCAGTAAAGTAAAAAGTGAGGCCATCAGCTGAGACCATGGAGGGGAGATGGTACTGTTAAGAGGTTTACAGATGACAAAAGGATGAACCCGTCCTCTGGGAGAGGGATCTGACTATAGCATGACAGGGGAGCAGGTGTAGGTGCACTCAAGGTTAGTGGTCGTAAACAATGTGAGATCAAGTCAGTATGGGCACGTGTGCTCTTTCCAATAATGTTGAGTTGCTTGGAGACAGGTAAGAAAACGTGTGGCATTCGAATTAACCAGGCTGGCTTTTTGCAGAAAGGATGATGTAGAAAGAGAGTGGGTCAAGAGAATTGAGAGTACACAGAAATCAGTGGTTATAGTAATGAACCGCAACGTCTAATTAAGCTGACTAAGGCTAAAGAGCGCCTCAGTGCAATGGAAAACAGAAATGAATGCCTGGTTCCTGTCCCAAAATCTAATCTACTTAGATTTACATAATGAAGATGAAATCCAGTCACCATTCTTACAGCTGGCAAAAGTGTCTATAGATCACTGAGTATATTTTTGTCTTCTGATAAAACTTCACTTAAACTGACACATACTAACCAAATGAAAAAAAATTTTTTCAAATAGGAAGATGCAATACACATTGGTAAATTCTACAAAATATGTGCCCCAAATAGAGAATTATAAGCTTATATATATATATACACACACACACACATACACACACAAGGAGCTCTGGTAGCATAGTCGTTACGAATAGGGCTGCAAACCTCAGGGTCAGCAGTTCGAAACTACCAGCCGCTCCGTGGGAGAAAGATGAGGCTTTCTGCTCCCGTAAAGATTTACAGCCTCGGAAACCCTGCACAGGGTCGCTATGAGTCAGAACTGACTCCACGGCATTTAACAACAACATATACGTATACTCCTGGTGTGACACTGTAGGATCAGCACTGGACTGCACACCACAAGGTTGGTGGTTCAAACTCACCAGTAGGTCCTTGGAGAGAAAAAAACGTATACATATACTGTTTTTGTTAAGCGCCACCAAATGGGCTCACTCATAGTGAACTCCATAGGGTTTCCAAGGAGTGACTGGTGAATTTGAATCACCAACCTTGTGGTTCAAATCAATCTTGCAGTTCAGTGCTTTATCCCATAGCGCCACACCAGGACTCCAATTATATGTGTGTGTGTGTATCTATATATGTATATGTGCATTAATTGGTTTGAACTTATGAAATTAAAGACATAGGCCCCCCAGTTAGTTATCAAATAAAACTCAACCTACCAAAACAGATGTAGGTATCAAACATTCTAATATTTAAAAGTATGGTAAGGATAGCAAAAATAATAGCAAACTTTTCCAGTACAATGTTTTCACTAAGTGCTTCAAAAATTTATAACCAGCCTATGGAATGCAACCTTTTATGAGACAAGAGGAGGAGGAAGTGTATTTTTAAATACTCCAAAAATATACAGAAGCCCAAATCATTTATAAAAAAGAGTAGTATTACCCAACCCTGCTAAGGTAAAGAAAAGTAACTTTCCTAAACAGAGACCAGATCTGAAAGACTCCTTCCTCCAACCTATTCCCCAAGATCTCATAGCAATTAGTGGGTTTAACAGAGGTTTAATATGATATCAACAAATTATACATCCAAAGGCACTGGGACAAATTAACACAAAACCCTACATTAATTAGGCTTCTCAACTTCAGCACTACTGATATTTTTGACCAGATAATTCTTTATTTATTTTGGGGGGGGGGGGGCTGGAGGAGGTGATCCTAGTCAGATGTTTGAGCATTTCTGACATCTGTCTACAAGATGGCTATAGCATATTCCCTTCCCTTCCTCAATGATGACAACCAAAATGAATACAAACATTGCAAAATATCCCTTTGGAGACAAAATTGCTCCTTATTAAAAAGCACTGAGTTAGCTATAATATTTTTAAGACGTTTTACTAAAGCTGGAGACAAACCTACAGCAAATCTGTATAGCACTAAATCTCTACATTACTGACATTACTGATTATGCTCTGACATGCCACAAGCTGACCACATTAAAAAAAAAAAAATTATTAAAGGAACAAATAAGCTTGGCACGGATAAAAACCTTATGCTTGAATTGGAAATGACTTCCTTGACAGAACACTAAGCTGCAGTCTTAGAGACAATTTACTATACTGAGAGAATAAGCCAGCACTTATAAAATGCTAACTTATTAATCTAGATTTAAATCTAAGTAAGGCATCCACGATTAATACAATGCACTTTCCTTCCTAATGCCTCATTCCCCATGGGTAATTAAATGAAGAGAAAGTGTGCTTGAGTGTTTTCGGTTGTCTTGCTCCTACATGTAACAGGTGTCAAATCTCTCCAGGTGAGTGCTTACCGGTAAGGGATTGGATAAGGAATGCTGCGGTGAGGATCGTGCAACTGGTGGAACACTTCTGCCAGGGCTGGTTCCTGGCCCGCTTCCCCCAGCAAACTGGCCAACAGGGAAAAACGGATATGAATAATTCAAAACAGTACTATGCTACAGATAAGGAGAGTAAAAGATTAGTACACAAACAGGTCTTAATTTTTATATGGTTCCTTAAATCAATACATCTTTTCCTAGGGAGAAAATGCCATGTAGGTCCAATTTTGCTGTCTTTTTAGCAAGAGTTTTAAGAAGAAGCTCCAGCAGAAATGTACCAAGATGTGAAGAAAACATGGCTAGAAAGTTACACACACGGTTTTCCTTCTTTTCTTAAAATACATCAATACAGGGGTATAGTGGATGGTGTCTTCTTTAGAAACCACTAATGATGGGTTAGTGATACTATTATATGTTGCACTGGACTACAGGAAAGAGGACAAAAGAAAAGTCCAAGTCATTCCATTTCCACCTTTGCTAGACATGAAACCTAGTCTGGTCAAAAGTAAAATCCTCATTTGTGAATTCTTATATCATCACAGACAAGACACATTATGTAAATTTAAATTTAGGACATCAGCAGCAGTTTCCTCTTACTAAGAGATGGGGCAGAATTAGATTGATGAAGATGGGAAGGAAGGGGAAGAGAACACAGTCAAGGCATAACATTGCTTTCTAAGGCTTTCCATGAATTCAAGGATTTTTTTTTTTTTTTTTAAATGCACTGTATTTTTCTTCCCAAATAATTTAACTTACCTCAAAGTAATCACTAATTTTATGTCCCCTAGGAGTGCCTTTCCCTGAAAATGAAACCAAAGTAAGTACAGTTTTTCCAATATGCATGTAAATCATCATTCACTAAAATGCACTCACTCTGTATTCAATAACTGCTATCAACTCACGTGTCAGATTTCAGTCTAACAAGTGAGCCAAAACACCTGTGCCTGAAGAAGAGCCAATGTCCTTCCTGTAGTTACAGACTGAGTAAGACTGAAAGCTATTTTTCACGGCTTGTTTTCCTTTAAGATTCAATAACCTTTCTTTTATTAATACATCAGCAAAATGTATGTCATAACTGTGAATCAAAATAAATCTATAGTCTATGCACCCAATCCTAACACCAAAGAGAGAAGAAAGCTCAATACAAATTCATCAGCATTGTAGAGTTTATTCTATTTCACACACAAAATGTGATCTTGTCACTGTGGGAGAATTTCTCCCCTCAAAGTAAAGAGTAAATTATTATAGATAAAAAAGAAAATATACAAACAGATCTGGACTTCCATTTCTTAGAATAGAAGGGGGAGGGGGAGCCAAACCATTTATTCTTTCTTTGGTTATATAAAAGTATTTGGATTATAACCATTGTATTTAGAGATTTATTCTAGAATGTTCCAATGTTCAATTAAATAAATGCTAAGGAAGAACAGTTGGTGAAAAGAACAACAGTGTGAATGAAACTATTGCTGGTGGCCCATTATTAACAAATCACTGATTTAAAACAAAGACCTAGCTAAAACACCAATGTAACCTCTTTTCTGGACAATATGTTTGGTTTCCTCAGAAGAAAACCCTATGGCGAGAAGATCATTAACTTATAAAAGGGAAAACAAGAGTCCCAAAAGAACTGACATTGTTTGTCAGGTGTATATCAAATGGCAAGTCTGTAATAAAGAGTCTGATATTCCCTGATGGTACATAAATCTCCCTTTGGTTAGGAATCCATGTATATAAACTAATTATTTAGTGTAAGTGAGAAAATTCTAAGTACATGAGAACTTAATATTTGTACTGGTGTGAATCACTACTACCTTGGCTAGTTTCGTATGGTTCAGCTTTTCTTTTCCGGTTTCGCTGGTCATTCTGCTTTTTCTCAGGAGTCTGTGAAATATCATATATATTAAAATTAGTAATTAGTAAATCTTTTACATTATGAAGATAAGAACAAATGCACAAAATATCTGTGTATAAGGAGACATAACTGGCACAGACAAATCTTAAATCAGTGTTCTCTTAGAGCAGGGAAACAGAAAGAGGACGGGTTTTGTATGAATTTTGAGCAAACTGCTTATAGTATATCAGAGCCTCAATTTTCTAGGCTGTAAATCAAAGTTGCTGCAAAGCGTACATGGCATATTTATAAAGCATAAATGTCTAGCATTTAGTAGTAGGCTCACAAATAGCAGCTGTTATTGTATTTTGACTTTCAAAGATCAAATATACTTAACTCATCATTTATCAATTATCTAATTATGCAACTTTTGCATTTATAGCAACAGTAAACTATCTTCTATGTGACCAAGTCTTATAGTAATGACATGCAGTAACAAATGCCTAGATGTGAGGAGAGACTAAGACAGGTTGTTGTGGATTAAGTGTTATGTATCAATTTGGATAGGTCATGATACATGATACTCAGTGCTCTGGCAATATGTAATGATCTGATCTGGGAGTTTTGTAATGAGATTTTGTGATTGAATGTGGTTATTTACACATAGTAACTGTTTCTGCTTAATATTCTGGTCTTTGGAACCTAACCATGTTGGTAAGTGATAAATGGGGGTAGTTTTTGAAACCACTACATTGGAAATTACAAGGTTATGAAAGATACAAGGTGTTTGACCTTTCATCCTCTTTTTTTAATGTTTCAAACATTTTAATCAAATATTTGTGCTTTTTTAAACTTTTTATTGTGAATTGGAGAAGTTTACAGAGCAGATCAGTTTTCCATTCAATACTTCATACACATTTTGTTTCATGTCATTGGCTGTAATTCCCACAAAGTAATATCACTCATTCCACTTTCTCTCTGTGTTTATTGTTTCAATTCCTCCATCATTCTTAACACTTCCTGCTTTAAACTCTGTCCATAGGCAAATGCTACCCTTTTGATCTCCAATTATTAACTATCCTAAGAAGTGCTATCTCCAGAGTGTCACTGTTCACCCTATATACTGTCACCTGTTTGGCTGAAAATGTTACAGAGGTGAGTTCAGTTCTAGGCCTGAAAGGTTGTGTTGTTGTTAAGTGCCACAGAGTCAGCTCTGACTCATAGCAACCCCTGTGTAGGGTTTCTGAGTAGTAGCTGGTAAGTTTGAGCCACCAACTTTGCAGTCCACTGCTTATCCTACAGCCAACACCAAGACTCCTAGGCCTGAAAGGTTTTAATTTTAAAATCATTTCTTTGCTTCCAAATATGATAGAAAAGAATATTTACTAATAGTATTGAGGAAAAAATCTAAATGCATTCATGTCCCTAATGCTTTCCCTATCTTTTTTGCTTTCAATCAGTTTATGAAACTTTTAAGAGGTAACTTCTAAAAAGTTTGTACGAAACAGAATTAAAAGACAATGGAATTTTTCCATAAACTTCTTGAAGTCCTTTTATCCAATCTTCTTTAAAGTCATATCAACTTCCTAAGCACAATAAAAGAGATATGTACCCACGCCCATTGCCATCACGTTGATTCCAACATACAGCAACTCAACATGACAGAGTAGAACTGAGCCTTAGGGTTTCCAAGACTGTAAATCTTTACCAGACCAGACAGCCTCACCTTTCTCCTATAAAGAGGCTAGGGGATTTGGATCACTTACCTTGCAGTCAGCAGCCCAACGCAGCCCAATGTTTAACCCACTGTGCCACCAGTGCTCCTAAGAAGAAATACAGGAATCTATAAAAACTTTCTAGAAGCCCCAGTGGTGCAGTGGCTAAAGCCCTTAGCTGCTAACAGGAAGGTAGGAAGTTTGAAACTACCAGCACTTCCTCAGGAGAAATATGTGGCAGTCAATTCTGTAAAGATTACAGCCTTGAGAACTGGGGCAGCTCTACCCTCTCATAGGGTCACTATGAATAGGAATCCATTCAATAACAACAGGTAAACAAAAATATCTCTACTTGAAAAGAGACAAAGAGTAACAGGTGAGCTTAAAACCCAACCCCCACAATAAAGTATCTACAAAATCAATAAACTTTAACTTCATGATTTCTTTGGCTTCTTATCTAAAAGCAAAGTTGGTAGTTGCACATTTAGACTCATGCCCATGCAACCAGGTTATTTGCTTAGTTAAAAAAAAAAAAAAATCTGAATTTTCACTTAACCAGCAAACAAACCTACCGTCAAATTCTATTATTAAAGTTAGCCAGACTACACTGGCCCATCTTGGTTGAACAAGTATTAAAATTCAAGCGTACTTAAACTAATTCAGCTACAGTTGAAATTTTCTGCTCTTTATTGATGGTCAACTAGACACACACACAACACTCACATTGCTATTGTTGTTAAGTACCGTCAAGTCAGTTCCTACTCACAGCTACCCTGTATAGGATTTCCAAAGAGTGGCTGGTTAGCCGACCTTGCTGTTCAAACTGACTTTGCAGTCCAGCACATTAACCCGCAGTGCCATCAAATTAAATCCAACTCATTGCAATCTGCACACACCAGAATGAAACATTTCAGGTCCTGTGTTATCTGGTTAATTGTGGTTAAGTTTGAGCCCACTGATTATGCCACTGTGTCAAGTCATCTCTTTGGGTGTCTACTTCTTTTTCATTGAGCATCTACACTTTACCAAGTATGATGTCCTTCTCCAGGAACTGAATCCTCCAGCAACATTCTCTCCTTCTAAAGAGCATTCTGGCTGTTCTTCTTCCAAGAAAAATTTGTTTGTTCTTCTGGCAACACCATAATTCAAATGCATCAATTCTTCACCACCACCACCCCCAAATGCATCAATTCTTCACCACCACCACCCCCAAATGCATCAATTCTTTTATAATCTTCCATATTTATTGTCCAACTTTCACATGCATACGAGAAGACTAAAAATACCATGGTTTGGGTCAGGCTCAGCTCAGCCCTCATAGTAACATTTTCTTGTTAACACACCAAAGAGGTCTTTTGCAGCAGACTTGCCCAATGCAATAAGTTGTTTGATTTCTTAACTGCTGCTTCTACGAGTACTGGTAGTGGATTCAAGCAAATGAAGTCTCTGACTTCAACCTTTTCTCCATTTACAATGATGTTATTCATTGATCCAGTTGTAAGGATTTTTGTTTTCTTTACATTGAGATACAATCCATACTGAAGGCTGTAATCTCTGATCTTCGTGGTAAGTATTTTAAGTCTTCTGCTTCCAGCAAGCAAGGTTATATCGCCTGCATATTGCAGATTGCTAATGAGTCTTCCTCCAGTCCTGATGCCATATTATTATTCTTACCCAGTTTCCCATGTATTGCTCAACATACAGATTGAGTATGGTGAAAGGATACAACCATGATGCATACTACTCCTAATTTTACACCATTCAGTATCCTCTTCTTGTGGTTGAACAACTACCTCTTGCTCTATGTACAAGTTCCTTTTGAGCACAATGAAGTGTTGTGAATACCCACTCTTTGCAATGTTATCCACAGTTTGTTATGTTCTATGCAGTCAAATGCCTTTGCATAGTTACTAAAGCATAAGTAAATATCTTTCTGGCATTCTCTGCTTTCAGCCAAGATCCATCTGATGTCAGCAATGATACCCCATCCCTTTTCTGAATCTGGTTTGAATTTCTGACAGTTCCCTGTCAATGGACTGCTGCAACTGTTTTTTAATTATCTTCAGCAAAAATTTTATTGCAGGTGATATTAATGATATTGTTCCATGACTGTCACATTTCGTTGGGTCATTTCTCTCTGGAATGGTCACAAATATGGATCTCTTCCAATCAGCCGGCCAGGTAGCTGTCTTTCAAATTTCTTGGCATAGATGAGTGACTGCCTCCAGTGCTGCATCAGCTCGTTGAAACATTTCAATTTATATTCTGTCAATTCCTGGAAGCTTGTTTTTTACCAATGCCTTCAATGCAGCTTGGACTTCTGACTTCAATATCGATACTTGATCATATGCTAGCTCTGAAAATGGAGGAGTATCAACCAATTCTTTTGGTACAATGACTCTGTATATTCCTTCCATCTTCTTTTTGATGCTCCCTATGTTGCAAAAAACATCATGGAGGCCATGTCAGACTTCCTCTGGCTTCACAAGGAGAATTAAACTCAAAATCAACCTAAGGCCGATTCCTATGAAGTACAGGTCAGTTGTGCCTACGTCTACACCCTACAACCTTCTTTGCCCTCTTCTGACACCAACCACCCCTCCTATAGCGCTCTCTGCTTCACATCTGGGTTTGGTAATCCATTGCAATGGCCACATAGAACTCATAGATAATATTCACAATTAAAGAAGTCAACAGGGTACAATTCAGGATCAGAAGCACTCAGGAGGCAAGTGTAGTTCTCCATACAAGTTTACCTTGCTCTTGTTTTGGCCTCTCAGCCATGTGGCCCCTCAGCCTCTGCTCTGCTTAGGCAAATGGTCACAAAGCTCCTTTAGCCAATCTGTAAATGCCAAAGAACACATTCTGCAAGCCAGCCTGCTGCCCACAGGCACTCAGCTTTACTGAGCCCATGTCACTTTCTCTGCTGTTGCTGCTTTTCCAGGTGGGGATCTCATACTCTGCTCATGGCTTTTCTTTCTTGATAGTCTTGGGTTCTTCTGTTTCTGCTTCTGAGATGGCTCCTTTAAAACCTAGCAGAATGACAAAATTAACCAGTCCCAGTGTTAAGAGTTCTGTATACCCAATCATTTGGTGGGCCTTAAGAAAACTTTGGATAGACATGCCAAGTAAATTCATAGTACCACATGCCCTGGTCAGTATTTTGCCAATAGAATCCTTTAATACTGAAACCCAAGACTTGAAATTTTCTCCAGTTCTTTAAACTTGAGAAATGCTGAACATGTTCTTCTAATTTTCTAAGTTCAAGTCTTTACATATTTCATTTTAATACTTTGTCTTCCTGAGCTGCCCTTTGAAAGTTTCTGTTCGGCTTTTTTACTTCTTCCTTCATTCCGGTTACTTTAGCTTTTCTATACTCAAGAGCAAGTTTCAGTTTCTTCTGACATCCATTTTGATGTTTCCTTCCATTTTTTGTCTTTTTAATGACCTTTTGCTTTCTTCATGGATGAGGTTCCTGATACCATCCTACAACTCTTTTGGTTTTATTAGTCTCTACTCCATCAAATCTGTTCTTGAGATGGTCTCTAAATTCCGATGGGATATATTTAAGGTCCTATTTTTGGTTCTCAAGGAGCCCAAAAGAGGATTATGAGCTTGGCTGCTAACCACACGGCCAGCAGTTCAAATCTACAGCTGATCCATGAGAAAAAGATGAGGTATTGGTGCCACAGAATAAGAACTGAACCGTTAACCATAAGTCAGCAGTTCAAATCCACCAGTCACTCCTTGAAAAGGTCTCTATGAGATAGAATCGACTCTAAGGTGCTTAACAATAACAACAACAAAGACTTACAAGCTCAGCTATGCTATAAAGGGTCACTATGAGTCGGAACCGACTCAACAGCACAACAACATTATCATTTTGGTTCTCATGGACGTGTAATTTCTTCATCATCAGCCTGAATTTGCATTTGAGCAACTCATGGTCTATTCCACAGTCTGCTCCTGATCTTGCTTTGGCTGATGATATTGAGCTTTTCCACTGTCTCTTCCCAGAGATGTAGTCAACTTGATTTCTATATATTCCATATAGTGATGTCATTTATGTTGTTTTAAAAAGGTATCTGCAATTACTAAGTTATTGGTCTTGTGAAATTTTATTATGTATTCTCTAGCATTATTTCTATCACCAAGGCCATATTTTCCAACTACGGATCCTTCTTTATTCCAACTTTTGTATTCCAATTACTAGCAATTATCAATGCATCTTGATTGCACATTTGATCGATCGCAGACAGAAGTTAGTGGATTTAATGGTTTGTGCATAAATCTGAGTAATAGCAGTATTAACTTGTCTTCCTAGGCGTATGGATAGTATATTATCACCAACAGCATGGTACTTTTAAGATAAATCTTGAAACGTTCTTTTTGACATGAAGGCAACAACATTCCTCTTCAATGTGTTGTTCCTGGCATAGTAAACCAGATGATTGTTGGATTCAAATGGGCTAATACTTAGACATTTCGGGTCACTAATGCCTACAATGTGTCCATTTCATTTCTGACAACTTCCAATTTTCTAAGATTCATACTTAGTTCATTCCAGTTCATTCAAATTATTAATGTATATTTGCAACTGTTTCGTCTCATTTTTAGTCATGTCCTGTCAGCCAATGAAAGTCCCAAAAGCTTTGCTCCATCCACATCATTAAAGTCAAGTCTACTTTAAGGAGGCAGCTGTTCCTCAGTCATATTTTGAGTGCCTTCCAACCTGAGAGGCTCATCTTTCAGCACTGTATCTGACAATGTTTTGCTGCTATTCTTAAGGTTTTTAATGGCTAAATATTCAGAACTGGTCAACCTTCCTCTTTCCTAATCTGTTTCAATCTATTAGCTTCATCCATGGCATACCTTCCAGAATCAAAGCAACACACAAACCACCACAGGAGGACAAACTGACAGAGTAGTGGTGGAAAAACACCCATCATAATAATAATCCTTCAGAGTCAAGCACACCTACAGATGCAAACAGCACACAACTCTAAGGGGTATCACTTATGCAAACTATGACCCCACCCCCACCCTAGATTTACACAGTGTTATCTTTTAACTCAGTCTTGAGAATATAAAAGTCAAGTCAAGAATGTGGTTTCTTACCTCTACTTCTTTGTCACTCAAGGATCCCACGCTGCACAAGCTCTGATTGGAAGACTCACTATTAAGCGGCCCCTGGAAAGAAAAAAACAAAAAGATTTCAAAACAACTCAATTAAAAGACAAAATCAAAACTGAGACGAGGCCTGCTGATTTTGACATCTAAATTAGGTAAAGAAATGAAGTGTTAACTGCAACAACACCAAGTCAATTTCAACAGAACTTGGTCAACTACAGTACTGTGCCCCATGGTAAAATTCTCTAGGTTCTAAGTGCAGCTTTTCCTTCTAGAAGTACTTCTGGCACTTAGTTCATTCTTCAGAAAAATCAGTAAGTGAAGTCAAGTCTCAAATCCTGTTGCATCACACACACAATTAACTGAAAGTTGGGTGTTAAGGAGTGTGTTACAGTTCTGGACTTCTATAGAAAGAGTATCAAAAGGCAAAATGAAGCGAATGCTGCTCTTATTCACACCTAAGGGAGGCATGAGCCCTAGCTCAAAAAAATAAAACAGGAAAGATGAAGTCCAGCACTGTAGCATGAGAAGCTAAGCTGACCCATTTCAGAGTAAAAATGGTGAAAATTATGTTTAAAAAGAAATCACTTATAGCCTCTAGAAATGGCTCTAAAGGAAAACAGGCAGGTAAGAGTCTGATGTTTAACTAAGACCATCAAAAAGGAAGAGCATTTCTCAAGTTGAAAAAGCTGAGGAAAAAATTCAAGCCTCAACTTGCAGTATTGAAGGATGCAGCCAGCATCAAAATTAGACAGAAAGACTATATAGAGTCACTGTACCAAAAAGACATAGTCGACATGGTCTTTCAAATTGACCATTTCAAGAGTTAGCATGTGATCAAGAGTCAGTGGTACTGAAGGAAGAAGACCAATGTGAACTGGAGACACTGGCAAAGAACATGGCACTGGGAATTGAAGGAATAGAAATTGAAACTGTTCAACACATTTATGCAGCACTGGAGGAACTCAAATCAACTCAGGTATGCCAAGAAATTCTGAGCACAGCTACCTGGCCAACTGATTGGAAGAGATTCATATTTGTGCCCATTCCAAAGAGAGGTTACCCAACAGAATGTGAAAATCATCAGACAGTATCATTAATATAACATGCAAACAAAATTTTGATAAAGATAATTAAAAACTGGCTGCAACAGTATATTAACAAGGAACTGCCAGAGGTTCCAGTCAGATTCGCATGAAGATGTGGAAGGAGAGTTATCACTGCCAACGTTAGATGTATCTTGGCTAAGAGCAGAGAATAATACCAGAAAGATGTTTACCCGTGCTTTATTGATAACACTGCAAAGAATGGGTATTCCAGAAGACTTAATTGTGCTCATGAGGAACCTGTATATAGACCAAGAGGCAGTCATTCGAACAGGACAGGGGACGATGAATGGTTTAAAATCAGGAAATTGTGTGTCAGGGTTGTGTTGTAATCTTTCAAAATATTCATTTAATCTGTATGCTGAGCAAATAATTTGAAAACCTGGATTATATGAAAAGCATGGCATATGAACTGGAGGAAAACTCATTAAACCACCTGCAATATGCACATGGTACAACCTTGCTTAATGAAAACAAAGAGGGCTTAGCCAATTATAGCCTTCAGTATAGATTGTATCTCAATGTAAACAAACAGAAAAAAATCCTCACCACCTGACCAGCAAATAACATCATGATAAATGGAGAAAGGATTAAAGTTGTCAAAGACTTCATTTGCTTGGATCCACTATCAACACTCACGGAAGAGGCAGTCAAGAAATCAAAAGACATATTGCATTAGGCAAATCTACTGCATCATTGATGGTATCATGTGTGGCAGCGGTAGTGAGGTTGGCCCAGGATTGGACATTGTTTCGTTCTGCTGTGCATGGGGTCGCTATGAGTTGGTTCCGATTTGATGGCACCTGACAACAACAACAACAACTGCAACAAGACCTCTTTATAAAGTGTTCAAGAGCAAAGATGTCAGTCTGAGGATGAAAGTGAGCCTGACCCAAGCCATGGTTATTTTGAATAGCCTTATATGCATGTGAAAGTTGGACAGTAAATATGGACGACTGTAGAAGACCTTATATATTTGAATTATGGTGTTGGAGAAGAACATTAAAAGAACCATGGACTTCCAGAAGAACAAACAAATCTGTGTTGGAAGAAGTATAGCCAGAATGCTCCTTAGAAGCCAGGATGGGCAGTCTTCAGTGCTCATATTTTAGACATATTATCAGGAGACGCCAGTCCCTGGAAAAGGACACTCACTATGCTTGGTAAAGTGGAGGGACAGCGGGAAAAACAGGAAGACCCCCCAAAGAGATGAGCTGGCACAGTGGTAATAACAATGGACTCCAGCGCAACAATGATTGTGAGGATGGAGCAGGACTTGGCAGTGTTTTGTTCTGTAGAGCATAGGATTGCTATGAGTTAGAAGTGTCTTGACAGCCCTAACAGAAGCAATGGATACGTTTAAGCCTAAGGGTGCTCTCAAGAACAGTGAAGACTGTAATGAATGGCAGCTGGGAGGAGATGAGTGGATTTTCAATTTTCTTTTTAAAATAAGTTATTGTTGGTGTTCACATAACATAGCAGAACATAAAATAACATAACAATGATTTAACAATTTCTACATGGAATCCTGATGTGGCACTGTGTTAATGCGCTGGACTGCAAAGTCGGCGGTTCAAGCTCACCAGTCATGCCTCAGGGTTGCTATGAGCTGGAACCAATTCGAAGGCACTTAACAACAACATATACAATTATGTGAAATAGGATTACACTCTTCAAGTTGTGCAGCCAACCTCACTCTCCTTTTTCTATTGTCCCTCCCCATTAACATGAACTCACTGACCCCTAAGTTGCCATATGTTGTTGTTGTTAAGTGCCTTCGAGTCGGTTCTGACTCATAGCAACCCTGTATAGGGCTTCCAAGGAGCCGCTGGTAAGTCTGAACCACCAACCTTACAGTCAAACTGACCTTGCAGTGCAGTGCATTTATCCTGCAGTGCTGTACCACATAGTTAGATCTTTAAAGGGCACAATGCTCAAGGCATTCTTTACTATTGTTTGGTTTTAAGAAAACTTCAGGTTTATTTTTAGTTTATGGTTCATAGGTTATCCTAGAGTAATAGTTTTGGGGGTTCATTCAGCCTCCATGGCTCCAGAAAATTTGAAATCTATGAGGATTTGATTTTCTGTTCTCCATTTTACCCCTTAGGTCAAGATTCTTCTATGGAATCTTTGATCCAAATGTTCCGAAATGGTGTTGTTGTTGTTAAGTGCCGTCAAGTCGATTTCAATCCATAGTGATCCTATATAGGGTTTCCGAGGAGCAGCTGGTGAACTTGAACCACCCACCTTGCGGTTAAAAGTGACTTTGCAGTCCAGTGCATTAACCCACCGCACCGCACCAGCCACACCAGGAATGGTAGGTAGCATATAATCCAGCTCTTTCAGTCTCATTACAGAGGAGGTAGCAATTCATGGTGGCAATTACCCACACATCCATTCCTCCCCCACTCCTGACCCCCTTCTTCTTCTGTTACTCAAGTGAATATAGAGTACAATAGTTACTCCTTGGATGGTTACGCGGTTTAGACTGTAGACTAGCTAATTTTCAGAAGAAAACCAGGGAGTAAGACAACATCCATGGATGAGAAAAATATTAAACACTAACCTCAGAAACTATTTCCTCCAAGGAACCACAATTTGATTTTTTTTTTTT